AAAAAGCCGCAGAGTCCTCTTGAGGCTCCCACTGGTAACCTGGAAGTTTTCCTGGGGCTACAACTTTTGCAGAGTGAATCTAGGAAAAACCCGCACCGCCCCTACTCTGCTTCTTCCCACAACTCAGCTTGGCAGGACACCAGAACACCCCAGAACATACACTTGGGGCGGTGGGCGCCGGGAATGGGTTGGGGTAGGGGTGGGGTTGGACCGTACTTTCCAGACAAGCAATCCTGTGTGTTGAGCAGGACTGGACAAGCCTCCCACTTGTTAGGTTCGCCAGAGATGCTAGTAACCTCTCTTAGTACCATCAAGGGCGCGCGCTATGCCACAAGCTGGACAGCAAGGCTTGGGGGGCTTCTCCGTACTCCCCTTTTCCCCACCCCACCTCACCCCATCCTCGTGGTTTAAAAACCAACAGATCACTGGGAGGAGGTCCCTGGAGAGGGAGAAAAGTCAAAGTAATGTCTTGTTCCTGCCATCGTTGGAAAGAAGATCATCCTCAGGAGTGCCTTGTCTCAAGCACCGAAGTCCCCTTCAAAACTTCCTTGGAGTAGCTGACCGGTCAGCTCGCAGTCAGTCGGCCTCCTGCCTGCCTTCGGTCCAGGACCCTCCCCTATTAGTTCCAGGAGCCGAAAGGGATACACTAGAGGCTGGCAGGGCGACAAGAGGCCTTCAGTGCTTTGGCGGCCAGGAGTTCTGTCAGAGACCCGGCAATGGCAGTTTAGGTGACTGCCCAGAGAAGTGAGGTTGACTTAGCCTGATTCTTCTCCGGCCTCTCTGCCTCCCGGATATTCAATCTCCAAGGCCGCCAGGCTCTCCGGAAGCCGCGAACCAGCTCAGCTTGCAGTGTTTATGCGCTGTTCAGGGACCACCATGCAATCAGGACTGAAGTTCCAGGACCTGGTAGCCTAACTCCCAAATTAGCGTCAGAGGTTAGAGGAACTCCTACCGCTTCAGACTCTGCACTGCAAATCCGTGTCCATCAAGAGTCCCGACAGTATGCCATTAAGAAGGCCCATATTCTCCCACACGCCTGAAATAGAAATGACTAACAGGCCTCATTCGCTCCACACTAGCATTCTTTCCTTCTCCCCAACGAGGTGTCACTCGTGGACCAGAGAATAGCCACCTCACAGCTCACGCGGCCTCACTCCTCCTGAACACGAGTTTGAGATGCTGTGTAAGCGGGAAGGGGAGATGACTCAGTGGTTTGCCCTGGGGCCTGGCCGATCTGCTCCTTCTCATGTCCAATTGCAAGGACTCAGCCCCTGGAGAAACCTGGGACCAGAAGGAGACATTTCTCGCGTGCATCTGAAGTCAGCGAGCTCGACCAGGGAGACCTGGAAGGCTGTCTCCTTCCTCTCCCTTTCTGAGCCTTTCCAATCCGTCTTTTCCGGAAAGCGGAAAAGCAAGCTGGAAGCATCTTCTATGGCCAAATGTGTTAGCTATTTTACCAAAAAGGCAAGATGAGTCAACTTACACCTCCATAGTTGCAAAAATTAACTTTTCCCGCGTTTTAAGGCTATCACCCTTCCACCGGGTTCCAAGCAGGACTGCTAAGCGCTCAAACTTTGAAGCCAGGTTTTTCCCGCCTTGTCGCTGAGAATCCTGGTAAGTACGACTTTGCTTGGCCATCTGTAAAATGTGCTGCCTCTTTTCAGGGCTTGTGGGCTCAAAAAAGTAAATACAAAGTCAGTAGAACTGTGCTAGGCGCACAGTATGCTCTGGGGAGCCATAGTCACCTCACTCCAGAATTTGTTGAAAAAGTTCCAGCCCTCCCAGAGCCAAGGGAGAGTTTGGAGAGAGACTTCGAAGAACTGCACTTTTAATTCTCCTCCATTCGCATGGAGCTCCAGAAGGAAAGAAAGAAAAAAAAAATCTTCCTAATGAAGGAATGTTTGGAACGTCCATTAAAAATGCAGTGCAGGGAGATCAAAGCACAATATTTATTTTAGAAATTTGTTGCAATCACCAAGAGATACAGGTATCAAGGCCAAATGTCAGTTCCGTTACACAAAGCCCCCGCGTGGGGCAGGAGCGCGTGGCTGCTGTACGGTAATGTAAAGAGACTTCAAAGACCAGGCGCGCTGCAAAAGTGCGCCGCCGGGAGGGAAGGAGAGAGCCCGGGAGGGCCAGCGCGCCCCAAACTGCTCTGGGGCTGCGGGGCGGGGGTCAGTTCAAAGAGGTATCCGCGGGGGGGGGTTTGCAGGAGGGAAGGTTTAATGGGCTTTCCTTTGTTGATGAGTGT